AAAAAAAAAGTACTCAGCATAAAAATAAAGTATTTTATTTTTTGTTTTTAAAAACATATTTTTTGTTACACCTAGCAGCCAGTAACAAATTGCTGTCGCTCTTAAATACATTAATAGCCTCTAAACATGGCAAACAAAGATTTAAGTAAACTAAAAGTTCATTTCTAATTAGTTTTAATGAAGGTTTATTCCTGTCGTCCCGCCACTTTGCGTTCATAATAGAGAATACTCTTTCTGTAAATGCTGAAATGGCCGGAACGAACAGCAAAAGTGAGACTACTTTGAACAGATTTGGGAAATCAGGTTGTTCGGTAAATATCGCTTGCCATTTTTCTGTGCAATATTATTGATGTAAAAGTACTCTGAATTTCGAATAATCGCTTACAAAATTACCATGTTTACTTAAGACTTTAAATAAAGTATTTTTGCGTACTTTATGTGTCTTGTAAAGTATAACGTACGAAACTGTTAAAATAAAAAAAGTTATAATCATTTACATTTTATTAAAATACGAGTACCTATTACAAATATTTGTATATTATGTGAAACAAATTTAGTTTGTTAAAAATTAAAATTTCTTCCTTCTAGATTTGACACTACCGAACTCCGAAATCACGTCTTCAAAATTTATATTTTGTGTTGCTTCATGTTCTATCGTTAAAATACCAAGATTGTTTAATCTGGTTTCAGTTATTTTAGACCGCAAGTAATTTTTAATTAATTTTAATTTGCTGAAACTTCTCTCACATGAAGCAACTGATGCACATATTGTTATAAATAACTTTAGTGCGACCGTTAGATTCGGAAGAGATTCTGTGATTCCACAATAAATTTCAAAAAGTCCAGTGTCACCCAATTAGAGACAGTAACATTAGCCGCTTTTAAATGTCTTCTCAATCTTGGTATTTATAAAAGGAAGTCCTGTTTCTGATACTTCATCGTAAAGGTTAGTAAATTTTGATATAGCAAATTTTAACTGTTCAGTGTTTGCCGAAAGCAAGGTCTTTGACTGCACAACCTCAAACAATGAAGCTACGTCTTTAATGGACTTTACTCTTGTTTCGAGTTCAGTACTGAATCTGTCAAGATATTCTAACATGTCCTTTTGAAGTTCCGCTCTAAGTGTAAGTCCAGCATCGGTGGACGATGCTAACTCACCGGGCATGCGTTTCTTGCGACGAATTCGTCGTTCTATCGAAATGTTGTATTTTTCCGATTTTTGTACAGCAAAATCTATTGCCTCTTCTGCTAGATGCAACCGTTTCTTTCCAATGAATAGACGAAGTGCTTCTAGTTTTATGATTATTCCATCAACACATAAACCTTTACTTTGTAATGCAATCTGAGCATTGTTCACTTCCCTTAGCACATCATTCCAAAAGAAAAGAAAACAAAGAAATGAGAAATTGCACACAGCAGGCATAAGATTTTGTGCATTTTTAGTTTCTAAATTTTCGTCTTGGTCACATAGTTCCTCAATTGCAGATATTATCCCATCAAAATTTTCAGCCAATACTTTTACTGCACCATAATGAGCACTCCAGCGCGTTGTCGAAAGTCTTTTAACAGATGCTTTGCTGTGATTGAGGAGCACTTCCCAACGGCTTGTGGAGTTGAAAAAACGTTAAATATTGTTTCCACTGCTCCGAAAAATGTAACACAAGTCGCATTTTGCGCGAACGAATGTTGGCCGCATAAATTAATTGAATGATCTATACAACCAATAAAAATTGCTTTATTGTTTTTTTCTTTTATAATAGCTTGCACTCCTCCGTGTATACCACTCATAACTGCAGCATTATCATAACCTTGACAACGACACATCATAATATCTAAGCCATCGTTTTCAAGCTTCTTTAGTATTTCAGCACTTAAATCAGCTGCTTTTTTTCCATGTAAAGGAAAGAATCCTAAGAATACTTCTTTGACTTCTACTTTTCTATTATTAATTTTTACAAAACGAATCACTTCAGACATTTGATCGACATGTGAAACGTCAGGTGTGCTATCAAACATGATTCCGAAATATTTGACTGATTTAATTTCGTTGACAAGCTGACATTTTACATGATTAGCTAAAACATTTATGAAATCATTTTGTATTTCTGGCGATAAATATGTTACTTTAGGTGATTTTTCCTGCTCCAAATATAGTATATGTTCTTTGAGTACTGCATCATACTTTGACAGCAGTTTAATTAGTTCTAAGAAATTACCTTTATTAGACGACCCTTGGGTTTCATCATGTCCACGAAATGTTAGGTTTTGTTTAGCCAAAAACAATGTTATATCTAATGTGGTATCGGGAGCGTGTAGAATTAATTAATAAAGTCAAGTTAGGTACTAATAGAAAATAAGATATTACTTAAAATGTTATGAATAAAGACAGCGAATGCTCGAACAACGATTTATAGTTTTATGGTACTCTACCCATGGGGGTAGCAGGTAGCGCGTTTGGAAGTTGGTGATTGATGTTAAGGGAGTCGTTGTTCAGATTGAAAAGAAGAAGGTTGTTCGAGGATCGCGTATGTTTTCTTGTAAATATCAGCTCTGTATATACTTGTAAATAAATAAGAAAAAAGGACACTACGATTTTGAGTAACGTTTATGCTATCAAATTAAATCCCTACATATTTTGGGGGCTCAACCGGGATATCGATAGTGTAACGTGAAGCCGCTAATCGGTAGTGTTTAAAAGAAGAAAGGCATATTGGTTGTGTGTCGCGAGTGGTTCATCAGAGTTTGAACAATTAGAAATTGTTGCAAACTATTTAAGAAGTTTGGAATCATGAGTGATAACCAGGGCGATATCGTGAAGATGAAGATGGCAGATTTACGGAAAAAGTTGGAAGAATTGGAGCTGTCTACGCAAGGAAGCAAAAAGGAATTACAGGAGCGACTCCGAACTGCACTGATGATGAACAATGAGGCTATTACGAATGATTATGTCGAACCAGGTGAAGACGAAGAAGATAGCGAAAGTGAATACGAAGAAGATGACGAAGACGTTCCCAAAGCGACTAAGACGGGTTGCCGACGGAAGCAAACACGTGAACAAGTATCCCTGACTTTTCGAGATGTGGAAGAATCATTAGAAAAGTTCAGTGGTGATGAAAAACTAAGCGTCACTCGGTGGTTGGATGATTTCGAGGAGATGGCAGAATTGTGTCAGTGGGTTGATGTTCAGAAGGTGGCTTATGCAAAACGTCTTCTCACTGGTTCAGCCAAGCTCTTCGTCCGATACGAAAAATGCGGTAAGACTTGGAAAAGTTTAAAATCCGCGCTAAAAAGCGAGTTTGAGGAAGTGGTGGATAGCTACAAGGTTCACCGCGAGTTATCCAGGCGAAATAAAAGGAACGACGAAACGTATCAAGAGTATACGTATAAGATGCTCGAGATAGCCAGCCAAGCGGATCTGGAACCTCGAACCGTAATAAAGTACATAATAGAGGGAATACCAGAAGACCCAGTTGAGAAATCTATTTTATATGGAGCGAAAACTATCCGACAACTGAAGGAAAGGTTTTCTCAATTTGAAGATATGAAGAGCGAGATGAAGTCCCACAGGAAGATCCAGGACAAGAAAGAAGACACCATAAAACGCGTTTCCACAGGGGAGAAAAGCAGGCTAGGACTTCAAAGCGTATCGAATGTGAAACGGTGTCATATGTGTGGTGACAAAGGTCATTTTAAATCGGAGTGCCCAAATAAACAAAAAGGATTAAAGTGCTTTAAGTGTAATGAGTACGGGCACATTGCGATTAAGTGCGGTAGTTCGGTACCAAAACCCACAAACACCCAGAAGACCAACAGCGTTTCAAGGAATCACACCACGAAGCATACAAAGGAAATCACCATAACGGACGTCAAACTCACTGCGCTCATCGACACAGGTAGCGATATTACATTAATTAGGACAGACGAATATGTTAGAATAGGTTCACCTCGTTTAATTAAGTCTAGTGTTAAGTTTGATGGTATTGGGTCAAGCGGTAACGAAACGTTAGGAGAGTTCAATGCTGACATAGTAATTGATAATGCAAGATTTAATAATGTAAGATTTCACGTAGTTCCAAGTACGATTCTAAAGTTAGGAGTTCTGAT